TGTAGCAATACTTATCGAGTTCCGTATGTCTTAAATTGCATTATTGCAGGAATTCTCAGTTAAAACACCAATCTAACTACTCCTAATTATCGTACAGGTGGGAATGCTTATTTAAATTCAGGATAAATGTACTGTGAAGCATGGAATCTAAGCTATCTAGTTAACATAAGAGATACACAATTAGTGAGCCGGGATCTGAATCCAATTTGATCGTATGAATGTTTGCTGTAGAAATATGTCTCCTGACTATTCTCGTATATATTTTTTCAACTTAATCCGCGTTGAGTAAATAGCGGAATTAAATAAGTCAAATAATGAGAATGGACTTTTAAATACATATATTTTGTTCATGAAGCGACCCACCGTAGCTGCTACCTTGACGCGGTGGTCGGGCTTGCCTATCGTGATGACCCAACCGAGCTATATTGGCTGGAACATATGTTCCTGTAGGTTCCACCATGCCAGGCAGGTCGATTGGAGAACGGTAAGACTAAAAGCAGCAACTCAAGGTCTGAGGGCGAAGTCGTACTGCTGACTGTGGAGGGGTTTGACAGCAGTAAGGTGTTTCCCTCAGACAACCAGCATCTGCAGCAATGCTGCCTTCTCACAAGGAAGGAAGGGGTTAAGAAAGACTGACCCTAAAGATGTCACACCACACCTTACCTCCTAGGGCAGAACTAGCACTCTTAGACTAGATCCAAGTAGACGGTCGTTTGTGCGCTGTCCGACTAAACAGAACAGTAAGGATCCGAAAAGATAGGGACACTCGTCGCTGCCTCTTCGTCGTCTCTGTCTACTCTCCCAATGACTGCAGACCAGATGATGTAAAAGATGAGTTTTACAGAATGTTCAAGTAGGTAAACTAAGCGAAAGACATCTGGGTGGATCTTATGGTGTCGTAGTCCAAAAATCAGATAGTGGCGACCGTCTGTTGCAGCTATGCTCAGATAACCGCCTCTTTCTTGCAAATACTAACTTTAAGCATAAGGAAAAACATCTTTTAACATGGCGACCCCCTAATTCGTCCCAACGTTGGACCCAAATAGATCACATCGCTATCAGCCACCGATGGAGGGGCTCGATAGAAGACTGTCGCTCATTCTGGAGCACATGCCTAGATTCAGATCATGCTCTAGTGCGAGCGCGTATTTGCTTGCGTCTTACTGGACGTAGGAAAGACGCTGCAAGGAAACCTCTTAGGGCCCTACTTAATGATAGTCAAGCTAAGAGTATATTTCAGGAACAACTAGGAAAACAGTTAGGCAGCCATGTATGTGATGCCCACCCCGATGCAGCATGGAATGATATCCGAAAAGCTGTGGAAACAGCAGTGATATCTGCTAGTAAGGTAAACCGGAAGGTTAGGGAGCAACACTGGATCTCAGCAGCATCTATCGCACTGATAGATGCTCGGAAACTCATTCCACCTGGCTCTGAACATAATGAAGAGCGGAGTCAGCTTAAGCGCAAGCTGACAAGAAGTCTACGCAATGATCGCGAACAGTGGTGGGTAGCGAAAGCAAGAGAGATGGAAAAGGCAGCGGCAATAGGTAATAGCAGACAATTGTTCAGACTCGTTAAGGAAACCGACCGTTAGCGAAACAATCTCAGAGAAAGATGGACATATTATTCATTCTCAATCCAGGAGATTGGATCGATGGGCAGAACACTTTAGGGATCAGTTCAACTGGCCTTCAGCCACACTTCGGTTTCCCACGATCTCCAGTCAACCTGAATGGCAAGTTAATGTAGGTCCTCCGTCCCTTTACGAAGTTGAAAAAGCCATAGGAAATCTGAAACGAGGGAGAGCAGCAGGCCCTGACAGGTTTACTCCTGAGATTTTTAAGGATGGTGGTCCAGTATTAGCAATGAGATTAACTGAGGTCTTAGGTAGAATTTGGGAACTGGACGTAATCCCATCTGACTGGTCTCAATCACTGATTGTGCCAGTCTATAAGAAAGGACAAAAGTCCTCTTGTGACAATCACAGAGGAATCAGTTTGACTAATATAGTGTCTAAAATATTAGCTTCAATAATACTTCGACGCCTAACTAAAGCTCGTGAAGAGCAGACTAGAGAAAACCAGGCTGGTTTTCGACCTGGACGTGGTTGTATAGATCAGATATTCACACTACGTCAGGTTCTAGAACACAGACACACATTCAGACGCCCCACAATGGTAGTATTTCTCGACCTTAAGGCGGCATTCGACTCTGTTGATCGTGAGGTTCTATGGCAGTGTTTGTCACTGAAAGGAGTACCAAAGAAGTACATTAACCTTATAAAGGCTCTCTACTCGAACACAACTGGTAGAGTGAGAGCTTATGGCGAACTGTCATCAGAATTGATTACCTCAAGTGGTGTTCGTCAGGGCTGTCCACTCTCCCCATTCTTGTTCAACTTTGTGGTCGACGTACTTTTAGAGATAACACTCTCCTCATCTAAATTTCCAGGGGTTGAACTTCTACCGGGAGGTTCACTTGTTGACTTAGAATATGCTGATGACATAGTTTTATTTGGTGAAGACGCTGACAAAATGCAGAGTCTTCTGACCACTCTAAGCAACAATGCAAGCATGTTCGGGATGCGATTCTCCCCTCGAAATGCAAAATGTTGCTTCAGGATTGGGTTACATCGACACCCGAACTAGTGATAGGGAGTGAAGTAGTTGAGTGTGTCGACCGCTTCACTTATCTTGGAAGTCTCATCAGCCCTTGTGGTTTGGTGTGTGACGAAATCTCAGCACGGATACAGAAGGCTCGACTAGCTTTTGCCAACTTGCGTCATTTATGGCGTAGGCGAGATATCCGTCTATCAACCAAAGGACGGGTTTACTGCGCAGCAGTTCGTTCCGTCCTACTTTATGGCAGTGAAACATGGCCGGTAAGAGTAGAGGATATCCGTAGGTTACTAGTATTTGATCATAGGTGTCTTCGAAACATTGCTCGTATATCATGGGACCATCGAGTAAGTAATGTAGTTGTTAGGAAACGGGTACTAGGTAAGGATGGCAAATCAATTGATGAAGTAGTGAAACTTCATCAGTTGAGATGGCTGGGACACGTGTTACGTATGCCCAACGACCGACTGCCTCGACGTGCTATGTTCAGTGGTATAGGAGTAGGTTGGAAGAAAGCTAGGGGCGGCCAGACCAAAACATGGCACAAGTCCATGAAGTCACTGACAAGTGGACTGAGTCATGTTGGTAGGTGTAGACTACCTGGTTGGGGACCGCGAGATGATAGCAACCGATGGTTAGAGACCCTGAATGACATGGCTCAAAATCGTTTGCAATGGCGCAGGTGCATCCACTCTTTGTGTTCTCCCAAATTTTAATCTTCTGAATGGCCCTGTCTTCTCACTCTTTCCAAATTTACTTCACTGGATTATACTCCTTGAATAACATCTTCAAACCCTAATCTTTCCGATTTCTGCTTATACTCTTACCACCTCTACCACTATGGGATTTGAATTTTATCTCTGTGCTAATGTGGTATGGCAACTCAAACTGATGTACGTACCTACGAAGTTCTACGTCGTTACTGACTGCCTGAAACAAAAAGAACCCCTCAAGAATCTGTGCAGTTATTATGTAGTTGAATTACAATCTCACCAATATGAATGTTGGTAACTTACTATTTGGTAAACCTTTGGCCAACTGAAGGAAAATTCATTAATTCAACACGATGACACTTCACTTGAATGCTATTCTAGTAGAATTTATCTATTGGTTTGCGGAATCTTATGATAGTGAGTTTATCTTACAAATCAATCAACTGTTTTCACTAGGACAATTCAACACAATTTCTAATTAATAGTTTATATTTAGATTATCAGAGACTACAGTAACCAATTTAAGGTGAGATAAAATTTCGATAAGTACTAACAGTGCAAATGACTATTGTAGCTGAAACTTATAAAGTGAGTATATTTGTCTTATTTCCGTATTATATTACTAGCAAACACATCTAAACTAATAGGCTTTAAAGAAAATATGCAAAGGTGTGTGGTACCTTAGCTTATATATTATTTTTCATGTGAAATAGTGTTGTGTTAGGAAAATAGGCGTTTAGTTGACTGGGTTCAAAAAAGTTACTAGCATGTAATGAGTCCTAGTAAGAAGCTCGACAGATTGCTCAAATACAGGTAAATAGCCTTCCCATTAGTAAAATGTAGACATAATTTAAAAAAAAAACATAAATGGACTTGAGTTACCGGAATCATATCGATGAAAAGCAGTTACGTTGAGGGTATTTATTTACGTGAATCGATCAACAGAAGTTTACATACAGGAAGGCATTTGCACCTGTGGAGTGCTTCGAATATATCTATGTAGAGACGCTGTATTTACGCAAAGTGTGAAGTGTAGTGAAATGTTTGGTAATTATAGTACGAATGATCGCATTTTGACGCGTTTTGCAGAAGTGAAAATTATGGGCTTAGAGTGCTATTGTTGAATGTATGTAACATCCAAACTAAATCATTTATTTAATAATTAGACCTACTAAACATTACTGGAAGTTAATACCAAGGTTAACTGTAATAACAATCTGAAACGATAAACCATTTTAAACATGCATGCTTATTCCAAACTAAATATCTGTTAAGTACGGCTTAAAAAAGAGAAAAAGTACCTGTTTAATTGAATCTATTAGAATTCTTGGAAAGTAGACTGTCAACCACAGATCTAAAAGTAACTCAATCTGTTCTCATGCATTATTTATGGTTTGAAAGTCTATTACGAAAATTTGTAAAAATTAGTGTTTTTTAAGACTACTAGAATAGGACGAATAGTAGTGGTTGAGAAATAATATAAAATAAACTTTTTTATAATAAAAAATAGTACAGTAAATGCATAAAATTTCAAGTCCAAAACCGATTTAAAAGTATCAATTAACTTTTTCCGTAAGTATTCTCCAGAAAACTGCTATCGCAAACTTCAAATAGAAAGAGCTATCAAAAGTAACAAGTGGGGGAGTCCGTATTAATTCAAGTTTGTTCACAACATAAGTCTGATACGTGATGAAAAATATTCCGCAGAAACATCTTGAATATTGCACCGTAATTCTGAAAAAGAGGGAAAGCAAGAGAAAAGAACAAGCAGTATAACAAAGACACAGATGGCCAATGAAGTTTAAAAAATTTACAATGAAAGAATCAGATGAAAAATAAGCTAATCAAGTAAACTAAAAATAAATTCATTCTATTAGATCGACAGCACATCATATATCATCTGATAAGTGACACAATAAAACACAGAAGTAAATAACAAAAATATTGAAAGAAAATATTATGAGCAAGACAACAACGTAGAGTCATAAAATATTTACCGCATACAAAAGATTAAAATGCGGAAATGAAGCAAAAGCAAAAAGAACAAACGCGGCAAAACCTAAATATGATTCTCTTAAAAATCTACGATCTGCCAAAACTGAAGAACTAACAAGATTTTCACAATTAAACACATAAAATTCAACAAGCCCGACATCAGGGAATATCACACAACCACTAAAACGAAATCATATTACCAAAAAAAATCGAAAATTCCCAGGCACACGAGCACCCAAAGAGAATAAAACAATCTCAAAAACCGACAAAAGCAAAAACCAACCGACACCTCAAAACACACACACACACACTCTAAGCGAAAACTCAACTCACAACACACACAACAATTATGTTATCACATTCACCCACCATTCGTCACAGCAATATATATATATATATATATATATATATATATATATATATATGCTTCCATTGATATTGTTACACGCGGACACAAGCTATCGCATGATCATACGAACAACACTGCTCTCTACATCGCACAAAGAACATCGCGCTAGACGATCACAAACCAAACAACACAACACAACACTCTCACCAAATCCATTCGCAAACTCACTCATCAACCACACTCAGACATCGAAATGACCTACCACACAACACATTCGACCATTCATCATCACAGCAAACATCCTCTGCAATAAACATTCAAACGTCAGACGTCTCTCTATCTATCTGCATGTACATCTGTGTGTGTGCGCACCCTTTCACAGAGGCAGACACAACAACACACATGAACATTCATCTCGCAAGGTCATTAGTATTCCATGGAACAACAACCAGGAATGTGGAGCTCTTGCACAACAATCACCTCGACTAACAGACAAATTCAAACACTCAGCAAACCAACAACAGACACACACACACATATATATATATATACAAATATATATATACAATCGACCTCACTCACATGCTATGCCGCATCAAACCGATCACTCATATTCACCAACACCCAAAAACACACAACAACCCAACATTCATGACTGTCACCCACGTCTCCGACACACCTCATCAACATAAACCATAGTCAGTACAATCAAATAAATCCAATACACAACAAGCCCCTCCAAATCCTTCACCGACAACATGTCGCAAATATACACACCTTCACACACACACACACACACACACAAACTCCCACTAGATGCAACAGAAACAACACCAAACACAACTTCAAACATCCTTGTCACCATACACAATCAATCAATTTGTCATACAGTCATTCGTCGTTTCAGTACATTGTCACGCCTTTCTCCACCATCAAAAACAAATACCAACAAACAAATATACATCACAACTGCCACATTTCGTTTTCAACTCAACAAAATAACTCATTATACACTCTCTCAACAGTCTGTCTTCCTAGCACCCACAACCACACTCTTCCACATAACAACACAATCCCAAACGAACAGATCAGTTCCTACGAATACAATACACCAACGACAGGGAGAAATCTTATCCACATAACACACATAGCAAACACCAACCGACTCCTCAACACACGCACACACACACTCTAAGCGAAAACCCAACTCACAACACACACAACAATTATGTTATCACATTCACCCACCATTCGTCACAGCAATATATATATATATACATACATACATACATACATATATATGCTTACATTGATATTGTTACACGCGGACACAAGCTATCGCATGATCATACGAACAACACTGCTCTCTACATCGCACAAAGAACATCGCGCTAGACGATCACAAACCAAACAACACAACACAACACTCTCACCAAATCCATTCGCAAACTCACTCATCAACCACACTCAGACATCGAAATGACCTACCACACAACACATTCGACCATTCATCATCACAGCAAACATCCTCTGCAATAAACATTCAAACGTCAGACGTCTCTCTATCTATCTGCATGTACATCTGTGTGTGTGCGCACCCTTTCACAGAGGCAGACACAACAACACACATGAACATTCATCTCGCAAGGTCATTAGTATTCCATGGAACAACAACCAGGAATGTGGAGCTCTTGCACAACAATCACCTCGACTAACAGACAAATTCAAACACTCAGCAAACCAACAACAGACACACACACACATATATATATATACAAATATATATATACAATCGACCTCACTCACATGCTATGCCGCATCAAACCGATCACTCATATTCACCAACACCCAAAAACACACAACAACCCAACATTCATGACTGTCACCCACGTCTCCGACACACCTCATCAACATAAACCATAGTCAGTACAATCAAATAAATCCAATACACAACAAGCCCCTCCAAATCCTTCACCGACAACATGTCGCAAATATACACACCTTCACACACACACACACACACACAAACTCCCACTAGATGCAACAGAAACAACACCAAACACAACTTCAAACATCCTTGTCACCATACACAATCAATCAATTTGTCATACAGTCATTCGTCGTTTCAGTACATTGTCACGCCTTTCTCCACCATCAAAAACAAATACCAACAAACAAATATACATCACAACTGCCACATTTCGTTTTCAACTCAACAAAATAACTCATTATACACTCTCTCAACAGTCTGTCTTCCTAGCACCCACAACCACACTCTTCCACATAACAACACAATCCCAAACGAACAGATCAGTTCCTACGAATACAATACACCAACGACAGGGAGAAATCTTATCCACATAACACACATAGCAAACACCAACCGACTCCTCAACACACGCACACACACACTCTAAGCGAAAACCCAACTCACAACACACACAACAATTATGTTATCACATTCACCCACCATTCGTCACAGCAATATATATATATATATATACATACATACATACATATATATGCTTACATTGATATTGTTACACGCGGACACAAGCTATCGCATGATCATACGAACAACACTGCTCTCTACATCGCACAAAGAACATCGCGCTAGACGATCACAAACCAAACAACACAACACAACACTCTCACCAAATCCATTCGCAAACTCACTCATCAACCACACTCAGACATCGAAATGACCTACCACACAACACATTCGACCATTCATCATCACAGCAAACATCCTCTGCAATAAACATTCAAACGTCAGACGTCTCTCTATCTATCTGCATGTACATCTGTGTGTGTGCGCACCCTTTCACAGAGGCAGACACAACAACACACATGAACATTCATCTCGCAAGGTCATTAGTATTCCATGGAACAACAACCAGGAATGTGGAGCTCTTGCACAACAATCACCTCGACTAACAGACAAATTCAAACACTCAGCAAACCAACAACAGACACACACACACATATATATATATATACAAATATATATATACAATCGACCTCACTCACATGCTATGCCGCATCAAACCGATCACTCATATTCACCAACACCCAAAAACACACAACAACCCAACATTCATGACTGTCACCCACGTCTCCGACACACCTCATCAACATAAACCATAGTCAGTACAATCAAATAAATCCAATACACAACAAGCCCCTCCAAATCCTTCACCGACAACATGTCGCAAATATACACACCTTCACACACACACACACACACACAAACTCCCACTAGATGCAACAGAAACAACACCAAACACAACTTCAAACATCCTTGTCACCATACACAATCAATCAATTTGTCATACAGTCATTCGTCGTTTCAGTACATTGTCACGCCTTTCTCCACCATCAAAAACAAATACCAACAAACAAATATACATCACAACTGCCACATTTCGTTTTCAACTCAACAAAATAACTCATTATACACTCTCTCAACAGTCTGTCTTCCTAGCACCCACAACCACACTCTTCCACATAACAACACAATCCCAAACGAACAGATCAGTTCCTACGAATACAATACACCAACGACAGGGAGAAATCTTATCCACATAACACACATAGCAAACACCAACCGACTCCTCAACACACGCACACACACACTCTAAGCGAAAACCCAACTCACAACACACACAACAATTATGTTATCACATTCACCCACCATTCGTCACAGCAATATATATATATATATACATACATACATACATATATATGCTTACATTGATATTGTTACACGCGGACACAAGCTATCGCATGATCATACGAACAACACTGCTCTCTACATCGCACAAAGAACATCGCGCTAGACGATCACAAACCAAACAACACAACACAACACTCTCACCAAATCCATTCGCAAACTCACTCATCAACCACACTCAGACATCGAAATGACCTACCACACAACACATTCGACCATTCATCATCACAGCAAACATCCTCTGCAATAAACATTCAAACGTCAGACGTCTCTCTATCTATCTGCATGTACATCTGTGTGTGTGCGCACCCTTTCACAGAGGCAGACACAACAACACACATGAACATTCATCTCGCAAGGTCATTAGTATTCCATGGAACAACAACCAGGAATGTGGAGCTCTTGCACAACAATCACCTCGACTAACAGACAAATTCAAACACTCAGCAAACCAACAACAGACACACACACACATATATATATATATACAAATATATATATACAATCGACCTCACTCACATGCTATGCCGCATCAAACCGATCACTCATATTCACCAACACCCAAAAACACACAACAACCCAACATTCATGACTGTCACCCACGTCTCCGACACACCTCATCAACATAAACCATAGTCAGTACAATCAAATAAATCCAATACACAACAAGCCCCTCCAAATCCTTCACCGACAACATGTCGCAAATATACACACCTTCACACACACACACACACACAAACTCCCACTAGATGCAACAGAAACAACACCAAACACAACTTCAAACATCCTTGTCACCATACACAATCAATCAATTTGTCATACAGTCATTCGTCGTTTCAGTACATTGTCACGCCTTTCTCCACCATCAAAAACAAATACCAACAAACAAATATACATCACAACTGCCACATTTCGTTTTCAACTCAACAAAATAACTCATTATACACTCTCTCAACAGTCTGTCTTCCTAGCACCCACAACCACACTCTTCCACATAACAACACAATCCCAAACGAACAGATCAGTTCCTACGAATACAATACACCAACGACAGGGAGAAATCTTATCCACATAACACACATAGCAAACACCAACCGACTCCTCAACACACGCACACACACACTCTAAGCGAAAACCCAACTCACAACACACACAACAATTATGTTATCACATTCACCCACCATTCGTCACAGCAATATATATATATATACATACATACATACATATATATGCTTACATTGATATTGTTACACGCGGACACAAGCTATCGCATGATCATACGAACAACACTGCTCTCTACATCGCACAAAGAACATCGCGCTAGACGATCACAAACCAAACAACACAACACAACACTCTCACCAAATCCATTCGCAAACTCACTCATCAACCACACTCAGACATCGAAATGACCTACCACACAACACATTCGACCATTCATCATCACAGCAAACATCCTCTGCAATAAACATTCAAACGTCAGACGTCTCTCTATCTATCTGCATGTACATCTGTGTGTGTGCGCACCCTTTCACAGAGGCAGACACAACAACACACATGAACATTCATCTCGCAAGGTCATTAGTATTCCATGGAACAACAACCAGGAATGTGGAGCTCTTGCACAACAATCACCTCGACTAACAGACAAATTCAAACACTCAGCAAACCAACAACAGACACACACACACATATATATATATACAAATATATATATACAATCGACCTCACTCACATGCTATGCCGCATCAAACCGATCACTCATATTCACCAACACCCAAAAACACACAACAACCCAACATTCATGACTGTCACCCACGTCTCCGACACACCTCATCAACATAAACCATAGTCAGTACAATCAAATAAATCCAATACACAACAAGCCCCTCCAAATCCTTCACCGACAACATGTCGCAAATATACACACCTTCACACACACACACACACACACAAACTCCCACTAGATGCAACAGAAACAACACCAAACACAACTTCAAACATCCTTGTCACCATACACAATCAATCAATTTGTCATACAGTCATTCGTCGTTTCAGTACATTGTCACGCCTTTCTCCACCATCAAAAACAAATACCAACAAACAAATATACATCACAACTGCCACATTTCGTTTTCAACTCAACAAAATAACTCATTATACACTCTCTCAACAGTCTGTCTTCCTAGCACCCACAACCACACTCTTCCACATAACAACACAATCCCAAACGAACAGATCAGTTCCTACGAATACAATACACCAACGACAGGGAGAAATCTTATCCACATAACACACATAGCAAACACCAACCGACTCCTCAACACACGCACACACACACTCTAAGCGAAAACCCAACTCACAACACACACAACAATTATGTTATCACATTCACCCACCATTCGTCACAGCAATATATATATATATATATATATACATACATACATACATATATATGCTTACATTGATATTGTTACACGCGGACACAAGCTATCGCATGATCATACGAACAACACTGCTCTCTACATCGCACAAAGAACATCGCGCTAGACGATCACAAACCAAACAACACAACACAACACTCTCACCAAATCCATTCGCAAACTCACTCATCAACCACACTCAGACATCGAAATGACCTACCACACAACACATTCGACCATTCATCATCACAGCAAACATCCTCTGCAATAAACATTCAAACGTCAGACGTCTCTCTATCTATCTGCATGTACATCTGTGTGTGTGCGCACCCTTTCACAGAGGCAGACACAACAACACACATGAACATTCATCTCGCAAGGTCATTAGTATTCCATGGAACAACAACCAGGAATGTGGAGCTCTTGCACAACAATCACCTCGACTAACAGACAAATTCAAACACTCAGCAAACCAACAACAGACACACACACACACATATATATATACAAATATATATATACAATCGACCTCACTCACATGCTATGCCGCATCAAACCGATCACTCATATTCACCAACACCCAAAAACACACAACAACCCAACATTCATGACTGTCACCCACGTCTCCGACACACCTCATCAACATAAACCATAGTCAGTACAATCAAATAAATCCAATACACAACAAGCCCCTCCAAATCCTTCACCGACAACATGTCGCAAATATACACACCTTCACACACACACACACACACAAACTCCCACTAGATGCAACAGAAACAACACCAAACACAACTTCAAACATCCTTGTCACCATACACAATCAATCAATTTGTCATACAGTCATTCGTCGTTTCAGTACATTGTCACGCCTTTCTCCACCATCAAAAACAAATACCAACAAACAAATATACATCACAACTGCCACATTTCGTTTTCAACTCAACAAAATAACTCATTATACACTCTCTCAACAGTCTGTCTTCCTAGCACCCACAACCACACTCTTCCACATAACAACACAATCCCAAACGAACAGATCAGTTCCTACGAATACAATACACCAACGACAGGGAGAAATCTTATCCACATAACACACATAGCAAACACCAACCGACTCCTCAACACACGCACACACACACTCTAAGCGAAAACCCAACTCACAACACACACAACAATTATGTTATCACATTCACCCACCATTCGTCACAGCAATATATATATATATACATACATACATACATACATATATATGCTTACATTGATATTGTTACACGCGGACACAAGCTATCGCATGATCATACGAACAACACTGCTCTCTACATCGCACAAAGAACATCGCGCTAGACGATCACAAACCAAACAACACAACACAACACTCTCACCAAATCCATTCGCAAACTCACTCATCAACCACACTCAGACATCGAAATGACCTACCACACAACACATTCGACCATTCATCATCACAGCAAACATCCTCTGCAATAAACATTCAAACGTCAGACGTCTCTCTATCTATCTGCATGTACATCTGTGTGTGTGCGCACCCTTTCACAGAGGCAGACACAACAACACACATGAACATTCATCGCGCATGGTCATCATTATGCTATGGAACATCAAGTATCTGGGAATTCGTCTCCCGCTATATTCCTATTTTTATGTTTGTTGGGTTAGTGATAGGTGATGTGATTAACTCTGGAAGATTTTTGTTTCGTAATCCCGTTTTCAGGTCGATGTGGTGTTGCGCGTTTTCCAGTATGTTCTGGTACTTATGACATGACATGAAGGCCTATAAAAGTGTGTGATATATCCGATACTATTTTGGTTTCTATTCATGAAAGATATAGTGCCTGTGGTATTTATATGACATGTATTTACATTTAGATATCGTGGATTGTGGCCTTATGAAACGCCACTCGCTGAAGTGATTTATGACACGCTCATTTCTAAGACAGAAGATACAGTTACATACAGTGGACGGGGATCATTCGATGTCCAGTTTTGTGATGTTTTATATTACAGATATAGAAAAATGAATAATATTATTGATAATATTAAAAGCACACAGTTGTTACCTGGTTGTCGGACTGTCCGAATTATTTCTTTTTCCTTTATATCGTAGAAAAACTCATCTTGAGTATATCGTTACCTGATGTGATGTATCAGTTGAACAAAATTTTTATCTTCAATACTGTACATTTTGTGGATCAAATATTTAACAAATACATAGTCAGTTGCAAACTAGTGAGTTTAAAGGCAGTTATGATTTATACAGCAAAAAAAAAATATTTTTAGATGAACGAGAAATGAATATTGCTCGGTCAAATGACTGACTCAAGCGCCGTCTAAATGTTACAAGTAGATAGTATTTAATTTAGAAGGAATCTGATAAGGTGGGAGATATACATAAATTTTCCGTGGTCGATTTTTCGATGATGGCATTTATTCGATTGACAGTTTCGAAAACGACAGTCGGTGAACACTGGTCTTGTAACATCTTTAATTTTCTAATGACCATTGCTATAGCACTATTGACGTCAATTCGTTTATCCCTCGTCGGAGCAGTTGATAGTGGTTGAAGATTATGAGATCTAAGCCACCGCGGGTATCTACAAGGTGTACCTGGATCCCAAATAAATTGTAAACCAACTTACCTGTATGCAAACCGATAGAAAAGTGGACTTTTACGAGATGTCTGCATGGAAGCAACTCAACTGAATTTAGTGAACAAGAACACACACCATTATTTCTATCCACTCTGTAAGAATTCCCATCATCTGAACAAAGTACGCAATCGTCCTCAACTTGTTCAATGGTGATGTCACTTTCGCGTACGATGTCGTTGTAGGTTTTATCAGAAGCATAGTCTGTGAGTTGATTGAGAAATTCATGTAACTCTTCGTCTACATTGAACCTTTTATGTTTGAGAAGGCGAAAAGAAGTCTCATTTTCTAAGAGGTTACAGTATTTTCTAACTTCCTTGTGTAAAGCCATCAAGCAATCTTTCAGAGAGTCATTTTCTTTAAGTGCTTCTCGTATATGCGGATGAACGCATTTTACTACACCATTGACTTTCGTACCTAATGTAACAACATTTTGTAAGAACGCTGGCACCCACATTTCTTTTATAGGGATCCAATGTTGAATGACGTAATCATAAACCTTCGAATCTAACTTCTTCATATTTTGTAGATCAGATTTAAATCTGAAAAGGTTCGATAAAGTTTTTATTTACTTGTTTGGACATAACGTAGATGTCAACCCGGCAAAAATTTTATTTGCAACGGGACTTTTAAACTATTTGTACGTTAAAGAAGGAGAATATATAATACCTTTCTCTTAAAGACCTTTCTAACGTATGACGAACTTAAAACAACTCTTGAGGTTGGAAAGAATTCCTGCACCAACTCCGGTTTAGAAACTGGGCAATGTACAGCTACTGTTAGGGTTGAGCTAACATCCTTAAAAATTTCACGGAAATGCTTTAGCAAAACGCACAGATCTTCTGTTTGTTCTGTGGAATGTAATGAAAACATGATGGGTCTTGTACATAGAAGACCATCTGTTACAGCTACCTGGAAAATAGTAAACCTGAGAAGTTGGAAAGAATACTATACACTCACCCAACGAGACAAGCGTTGTAGGTGACACTGAAACTAAGAACTTCTGGGAACCTCTTATATAACTCGATCTGCTCATAGTGTGACAAAGAGACTTGAGTAATCTCACCGTCACACTGCTCCACGAACACAATAGAATCTTTACGTATTTCATCCAGTACGTCCGAAAGTTTCTTGGAACCTTAATATAGATAATTTCATGAAACCAATCAAACCAGGGAAAACTTGATTGCGAAGTATCTTGATTTCCCAAGAAGTCAGTGGCCTAAACAACCTTGAACTAACAAAGGCTAGTATTGTTTTCATTCCGCAATCACACTTCAATAACTGCTTTAGCAGTTTCTCATCTTCTTCATTTAAACCAAGTCCAAGAAAGCCCTCGGAACCCATTTTTGTATAACCGCCACGTTATGCTCAACCTTCAGACTTTGCTCAAGTGCTTTAAATGGTTCAAATGGTTGTGGACGGAATAGAAGAACCTTTCGCTTAACAGGCTTCCGTGTCTAGTAGCACGGGATCACCAAGTCCTCCAGGCAGGAACCCAGGTATGTTAACAATAAAAGAGGAAAACGAAATTGGTAAATCATAGTATGATGCTGTCCTTGGTCCTTAAGAATAGGTCAAGTTGCCTCTTGAAGGACTCCTGGGAAGTCCCTTGGACTAGCTCGGCCGGCAGCGAATTCCAGCATTTGACAACTCTTAAGGAATAGAAGTTATGTCTACATTCCGTTTTGCTATGATGTGTCTCCAGTTTCTGGGTGTTACCCCTTAGGTTAATGTTCGAACTAAGCTTAAGTAGTTGTTTAAGAGGATGTCTAGAAGTGTTGAGAATACTATAAGCCACTAGTAGATCACCTCTAAGACGCCTATACTCTAATGGGTGAAGGTCTAGTGGATGGAGGCGCTCTTCTTACTTACTTACTTACGCCTGTTACTCCTCGTGAAGGAGCATAGGCCACTCACCAGCATTCTCCATCCAACCCTGTCCTGGGCAATCCTTTCTAGCTCCGTCCAGTTGTAATTCATCCTTTTCATATCTGCTTCTATAATCCGACGCAATGTGTTCTTTGGCCTTCCTCTTTTTCGCCTCCCTTCAGGGTTCCAAGTTAGGGCTTGCCTCGTGATGCAGTTTGACGGTTTGCGTAATGTATGTCCTATCCATTTCCATCGTCTTTTCCTAATTTCTTCTTCAGCTGGAAGTTGCTTTGTTCTCTCCCACAGAAGGCTATTGCTGATGGTATCCGGCCAGTGGATGTTGAGTATCTTGCGTAGGCAGCTATTTATAAATACTTGTACTTTCTTGATGGTGGTTGTTGTAGTTCTCCAAGTTTCAGCTCCATACAGTAGAACTGCCTTGACGTTCGTATTGAAGATTCTCACTTTGATATTGGTTGAAAGTTGTTTTGAGTTCCATATGTTCTTCAATTGTAGGAATGCGACCCTTGCTTTGCCGATCCTCGCCTTTACGTCTGCATCTGAACCTCCTTGTTCATCGATGATGCTTCCTAGGTATGTGAAGGACTCTACATCTTCCAGAGTTTCGCCATCAAGAGTGATTGGATTGCTGTTCTCCGCTTTGAATTTGAGGACCTTGGTTTTCCCTTTGTGTATGCTGAGGCCTACTGATGCAGAGACTGCTGCTACACTGGCTGTCTTCATCTGCATCTGTTCGTGTGTACGTGATAGGAGGGCTAGGTCGTCTGCGAAGTCCAAATCGTCTAATTGATTCTGAGTTGTCCATTGTATTCCGTGTTTTCCTTCAGATGTTGAGGTCTTCATAATCCAGTCGACCACCAGAAGAAAGAGGAAGGGAGAGAGTAAACAGCCTTGTCTGACTCCAGTCCTTACTTGGAATGCATCTGTCAGCTGTCCTCCATGCACTACTTTGCACTGTAGTCCGTCGTATGAGTTCCGGATAATGTTGACAATCTTCTCAGGAACTCCGTAGTGTCGAAGAAGTTTCCATAATGTCCTCCTATCTACACTGTCGAATGCCTTTTCATAATCAATGAAGTTGATGTATAGTGATGAGTTCCACTCAACTGATTGTTCGACGATGATCCGTAGTGTTGCAATTTGGTCTGTGCACGACCGATCCTTACGGAATCCAGCTTGTTGATCTCGAAGTTGGGCGTCTACTGCATCCTTCATCCGGTTCAGCAACACTCTGTTGAAGACTTTCCCTGGTATTGACAGTAGTGTAATGCCTCTGTAGTTTTCACATTTGCTCAGATCTCCTTTCTTTGGAATCTTGACGAGGTGTCCTTCTTTCCAGTCCATTGGCACTTGTTCCTCCTCCCAAATCTTTTTGAATAGAAGGTACAGCATGCTTGTGGTTGCTTCGATGTCTGATTTCAGTGCTTCAGCTGGTATGTTGTCGGGTCCTGCTGCTTTCCCGTTCTTGATTTGTCTGACGGCCATTCTAATTTCTTCCGTCGTTGGTGGGTTGACATCTATAGGAAGATCTATGTGTGCTGCTTCGATGTCCGGTGGATTCATTGGAGCCGGCCTATTCAGGAGTTCCTCGAAGTATTCCACCCATCTGTTACGCTGATGTTGAATTTCGGTGATTGGCTTGCCTTCTTTGTCTTTGACCGGCCTCTCTGGTTTACTGTATTTCCCTGCTAGTTTCTTCGTTGTATCGTAAAGCTGTTTCATATTTCCTTCTCTAGCAGCTTTTTCTGCCGTCGTTGCTAGTTCTTCCACGTATTTCTTCTTGTCGGCTCTAATGCACCTCTTCACTTGTTTGTTTGCTTCTATGTATTCAGCTTGTGCTTGAACTTTCTCTGCTCGTGTTCGGCTGTTGTTAATTGCTGCCTTCTTGTTCTTCCTTTCTTTGATCTTGTCCAGTGTTTCTATAGAGATCCATTCCTTATGATGGTGTTTCTTTAGGCCCAGAACCTCTTGACACGTTGAAGTTAATGCTTCCTTGATGCCTTTCCAGTTGTCCTCCATAGTAGTTTCTTCTTCTTTCAGTAGATCTTGTAAGGCTTGGAACCTGTTGTTGAGAGCTATCTTGAATTCATTGAGTTTGTCAGTATCTCGAAGGAAGGCTGTATTGAACCTTTGTAGTGCTGTTGGTCCACTTGTCCAGTTCTTTTTTAGCTTCAGTTTTAAATTGGCTACAACTAGGTGGTGATCTGAAGCTACGTCAGCACCTCTCCTGGTTCTCACATCTTCCATTGTCCTTCGGAATTTTTTGTTGATGCAAATATGATCTATTTGGTTCTCTGTAGTGTGGTCCGGTGAGATCCATGTAGCCTTGTGTATACGCTTGTGTGGAAATATTGTGCCTCCTATGACCAATTTGTTGAATGCACATAGATTTGCAAATCTTTCTCCATTTTCGTTTCTCTGTCCCAGTCCATGTCGTCCCATGATATCTTCATATCCGGTGTTGTCTATTCCGACTTTGGCATTTAGATCTCCCATCAGAATAGTTAGGTCCTTTCTTGGCATTTCTCAATGATTGACTGTAGCCGCTCGTAGAACTGATCTTTAATGTCGTCGTTGCTATCATTGGTGGGTGCATAACATTGGATAATATTCATTAAGATCCCCTCCTTCTTTGTTTTGAATGATGCTTTGATGATTCTGGATCCGTGAGACTCCCATCCTACAAGTGCATTTCGTGCTACTTTGGACAGCATAAGAGCGACTCCCTGAGTGTGTGGAGCATTGTCCTCCTCGTGACCGGAGTATAGCAGCATCTCTCCCGTAGCTAGCCTTTTCTGTCCAGCTTGGGTCCAGTGGGTTTCGCTGATTCCCAGTACTGCTAAGTTGTATCTCCTCATTTCCATTGCTATTTGACTGGTCTTCCCGGTTTCCCACATTGTTCGAACGTTCCATGTACCTATAAAAATTTTTGCTCTGGTTGTTAGAAGGGGCATCGGCCTCGTGGCTTCCGAAGGAACTCGGCTTTCACCATGAAGCGTCATAATTCTTCTAACTGAAGACCTTCTAACTCCCAGGGCAGAGTTTAAATGGTTTGAATAATTTTTTCTGGTAAGCGTTTTTTTAGCGAGTTAGTTTTCTACGGGATGGGGACGCTAACCCCATGCCCAACCCTCCTCCTTTACCCGGGCTTGGGACCGGCAGTAACCCTATTAGAGCTACAGGCGGAGTTATGGAGGCGCTCTTCATAAGGTTTAAATTTGAGTCCTCGAACTGATTTCATGGCTCTCCGTTGGATTCGCTCCAAAGTGTCCTTACCTTTTTTGAGTGAGGGGGAAGTACTATGTTTCCGTGCTCTAAGTGGGGACGGATGAAACTATTGAAGATTATATGGAAAGTTCCTCCGTCAAACTGTCCAAAAATGCGCTTCAAACTTACCAGTGCAAGGTTTGCTCGGAAAGCATTTTCGTCACAGTTAGCGTGAGACTTTAAATCATGGGGCACCAGGACTCCTAAATCTTTTTCTACTTGGGATACTACTAAAGAGGAGTTTCGCAAGCTATAACTGTAGTCTGCAAAATGTCGCAGGTTGACTACTTTACACTTTGAAGTGTTAAAAGTAAGTCCATTATGATCTGCCCAACTTTGGAGTCGAGTCAGATCCTCCTGAAGTGCCTGTATATCGTCTTAAAGAAGTGCCTTAAGTGTTTTATAAGATCTTAGGCTGCTCTACTGAAGATAGTTTTGAATATAAAGAGCTTGGATTTTCACGTTTATTTATCCGTAGCTGTTGAAACTAAACCACTTATTCATCCAATTACAGGGATGGGTAGGATGAGTTCAAATGGCTTGTATTCTCGAAAGCGCTCTGACTAGCTCCCGAAAAGTTGAGGTTGGTTAAGAACGAATTCGACCACATGATAGACTTAGGAATCATCCGACCATCAAACAGCCCATGGACATCTCCGTTGCACATAGTTCCTAAAATGGAAGGCAATGATTGGCGCTCAACTTGTGACTATCGGCGATCGAATGCCAAAACCAATCCTGCCCGTTACCTGTTTCCGCACATTCAGGATTTAACAGCTATCTTTAAAGATATGACTCTTTTTCGAAAATCGACTTGGTTGAAGCACATAACTAAATTCCCATGGCTACTGACGATATTCCTAAAACTGTTATCATCACCCCTTGCGGAATCTACGGGTGTTTGCATGCCATTTGGTTTGAGAAATGCTGCACAAACTATCCAGAGATTCGTCGATGACGTTTTTCGAGATTCTAACACAGTACATGCCTATGTGGATGACTGCTTAATAGGAAGTTCGGACAGAAAATCATATCTTCAGCATCTAGACCTCGCCTTCGAACGACCACTAAAACACAGCATTACTGTAAACATTCAGAACCGAGCACAATCAAGCAATTACGCACGTTTAACGCCTGGTAAGTCTCTCATGAGACCTTTAATCGACCAACTTCGTGGAAATGCGAAA